CAGTTCATCAAGTGAATTTCGAAGTGAACTTGCACCAGGAAATTATAATCAAATGGAAAGATGGTAGCGATTAATCGTGGGGCCGCCAAATTGTAAACACCCCTGGCCAAGTTTCTTACGGAAATCGTGATTTAAAGGTTAATGCTTCACTAAGGAGTAGACAATGCGCATTTAATGCGTCGAAAGTGAATAGTAGAAAACAAATTAAAGCCAGTTGTAATTGTTTTGGTGAGTGAAAATGTGTATGTGAAAAGTATCAGTAGAGACAAACATAAACACCTATTGGTTCAGTAAGGGATGCCTGTTGACCATTAAAGAATATTACACAACTATTGGTAATATAATGAAGCAAATGTTTGGATAGGCCAAAATTTGCCCTACTGAAAATGTGTAAGTAACTGGTTATTATCTATACGAAGCCTCAAAAGACCTCTCTATGGATCTCTGCCGCTATTCTTTTTTTCAAAAACGCTGCGCGCTCAACTGTGTTGATTCAAAACTGATAGTCTGTTGCGATGACATGTGCACACAAACTAATTTATTGTAGTTCTAATAGTGGCTCCCTTATGAGATTTAACTGCAGGGTAAACTTTAACCAAAAAAATGCGCAATGAACTCACATCTGGCGGTTTAATGGCATTTTCTACGCGCATATGACTCTGCCAATGGCTCTCACCGGGCAGGGGTTTTCGGTACGTGGCCAAATTTTCCTGAAGTGTGCCAAAACAAACATGTAAATGTGGGTTAATAACATTCCGTGTGGAAAGAATAATTGTACCTTAAAATAGCAGTCTCAGCTTAGACTCTACTTTTTAAGTGCAACTTCAAAGACATCAACTAAGAATCTACCACACAAATTCACGCCTAAAAGGCAACGCAACCTTTTTATTTGTTTCTTTAAGTCAGTTTATTAAGGGAATAAATAAAATAAATAAATAAATTTTTATATTTTAGGCCCGGAGGGCCTCGTTATTGCAAGAAGGCTTTCGCCCTTGAGCTACCTATTCATAACCAAAAATTGCAAAATAGTTAAACCGTAAAAATAGTACATAATACAAATGTAGGCTTAACATCAGCGATAAGTGTGAGCCAGTTGCAAGGTGCTGCTATGAAATTACGTTCATTATATCTGTCACAGTTTCTCTGTCACAGTTTCTCTTTGATACACATGTGGCGAACACGAGGGTAACTGGGTCTAAAATATAAGTAGCTCCGTCATCTTTCGGGAAATATTGACAACGCATGACAATCTACCGGGTTGCAAGACAATAATATAAGAAACACTGGAGTAAGACCGATAAAACGCAGGGGAAATGGAGAAAACAGTTGCAACAGCCTGATTCATGCCCGCTATGACCTGATAATAATCTCACAGACCCAGAAACTCGTCTTCCGTGGAGGCAGGGTGGTTTTGAAACCTAGAAGTCTTAGTCTTCCATCACGGACTAATACGCGCCCCCAGCCTTAAAAACCTGTAGTAGCAATGGGTTAGGTTAATGTTAGGTCTAGAATTAAGGTTAGAACACGGGAGTATTTGCATCAGTGACTGCTTTCCTCAGTTTGACATATCACCTTCAAGACTCACTCACACAAAGGACGCTTTGTTCATGCTACTGTAGCAACCTTGTATTCTAAGCCATACTTTGCTCGCACGCCTCTGGGGCATGTACAGCGTGTCTGTTACTCGCGTCCACTAGGCACGTGCGCACCACAGCGTGTCAAGGCAGCTTAAGGTCACGGACGTGTGTTCATCCTCTGTCTGTCCTAACTGGCCAACCACCTTCCAAGGCCAATTCACAAAGGACCTTATTGTGGTGACTGCCTGCGCTCAGACACTCCCGGAGCCGGCGACCTCACGGCCGATTGCAGACATCCGGACCCGGCGACTTCACCGCCAGAATGCGACTCTGAACTCGGCCTGCTAATGGCTGGACTGCACTCATCAGGCTGTCAAGTTCCTCCAGCCTATTCTCCATTAGCTCTGTACAGAATAAACTATTCCTCCCACCCGGTGCCTCACTGCTTTTCTACCCCTACGGAACCAGCCTAAAGATCACAGCGGTTGGGGTTTTACCCATTAACCTAACACAATACGATGCCAAATATGATTCTGAGAAAGCGCAGTAGTCTATCGGAAGTGTGGACTAAAGCAATCAAATGCAACCTGTTTTCTGCTTATCTACGGCGATCAGCTGATCATAGCTCAACTGCAAATCACGAGACAAAGGAAGCGAACTGGGCGTAGAACTCCTGTCTCGGCAATTTATGGCCGGGGTTCTTGCTTGACTATTTGCTGTCAACCACAAAAAAGCCCCGCGGGAACGGACTTTACTAGTCTGACCTGTAGTTGTATTACACAATGCGGACTCCTCCCGCAATTAGTTGGGAGAACAGTTAACTACAAACGACCGTGCAGCGTATGGGTGGGTGACAATGGAACAAACCACTCCGAAGCTCCTAAGAGAGGTTAATTTCGTAAAAAAAAACTTGAATGCCATCCCCGTTTTTATTAGTTTACGTAGGTGTATTGCTGACCTACGGATTGCGGATCGTGCAGAGGCCACTAGTTGGGACTGCAGTGCCTCAAGCGCGCGAATACACATTTCGCTTGTGGCGCACGCGCTGCGCTAGGAGTTATGTGACGCCTCTGTGATAGCCAATCACAGGTGCCAGCAAACTGCTGTCACCCAACCAACTGATCAATCGGACACTGGCTGACTCTGATTGGTCGTTTACTCATTCACGCTCTAGCGGACAGACGCGCACGCGCAGACTCAGAGCTTCCTGCGCGTAGGGGCCTCTGACGACCACCAGGGAATTTCTCTACAGAATGCACGACTTCTACTAGTGTCTTTTACCTCTAAAACGAAATTGGGCATGATGATTATAATGCTCTGGGTAATATCACTCTTTCGATCCCTCACTGATCGGTGTTTGTGACTTCAAAACAACATACTTATTGTCTTAACAACGCTTCATTTTAGGGCTACTTGCTCAGGGTGAAATTGTTTAGTGGTTGGGAAGGTAGGGGGGTCGACGAGGGGGAGCGAGGAGTAGAAGCAAGGAAAATAAACTAGACAAAAGGAAAACTTACTGATGGCATGCCAGATTCGATGCAGGTCTCGACATTGCCATCGTCGTAGAAAATGCACCGTGCTTTTATGGCATCCGTCGCAGGACCACCGTTCGGGTCAATCCAATAGCTGCAAGGTATAGGATAGTTTACTTTCATTATCTCCAGTTCAGTTTAGGCTTGTTTCACGCGGAGGGTAAGTGAATACATTTAAACTTTTCGCTGGTTGCATTAGCATAGCAAAAGAAAAAATGCCGAGGCATACGGAGCAGTCAACGAAACAATTCGAAAAATAGTATTCA